GAGTCTCACTTTCAATTTGAATGTGAGTACGAAATTGTTCCACAGTCATTTTATCCATAGAATGTAGGATTTTCTTTCTATAGTCATTCCAAGAGGAAGGCAATTTCGAAAGAATAGCACCTATTTGAAGTGCATCAGGAATTTTAACTTCAAGATCACTTAGTTTTGATACTAAGATTTGCAGTTCATGAATCTGATCCATTATAGGCCTAGTATCAAATATTTTAAATTCAAAGTACTGCAGAGCCAGGAATTTGTTAATACCTCATTTTTCATTCTGGTATGCAGTTTGTAGAGCAGACCAAATCTCTCTTGGCGACTTCAGATTGCAATAAAGATCATAGAGTCGATCTGTCAAAGTATTCAGAATATGGTCGCGACACAACAGTTCATCATGTTCTCGTTTCTTCCTTTCTTCCTTGACTACGTCAGAATCTTCTGTTGTGGGCTCAGGCATCGGAGGCAAGGCAGAATCAAGAACATAGTAGATATTGAGAGCGGACAACAAGAATATCATCTTGTCTCTCCAACGGGTAAAGTTCGTTCCATCAAAGCGATCAAGTTTGATAAACTCCTTCGGATTCTCAACAACAGACATCAATTTCTCCATAGCAGAATAACTCTTTAAGATTGTTAGAAAATAATAAACAAAATTGGCTTTGAGGCGTGAAAATCGACTGTCCTTAAAGAGTTATCGCCTGTATACTAATTTAGGGAAAATACAAAACGATTCTCTTCAGGATACAACAAAGCCTGCAATAACACTTGTGATTTTCTATATCCACTTCGTTGGAATTCTTGTGTATTTATAGGCAACCAACAGACCCTTTTAGAAAAGATGTCTTGTTTCACAAACAGACACGACTATTTATTTGAATTTTGAATTTAAAATTCAAATAAATTTGATTTTTCTGTTAAAAAATAATTAACTTTAGGATCTCGTGCCTATTGAGTCAATCTCGTGCCTGTTGAGTCAATCTCGTGCCTGTTATGCGCTATTTCATAATGATCAGTTCCGAGGCTAACAGGCACGGTACGAGAAAGAAACGTCTCACTTCCAACTTGTCAATAACAAACTATCTTACATACGCCAAGGCAATGGAAGTTCTAGAACTGTTTGTGACAGCCTGCAGAGCACATGGTTGTTTTTACTTCCTTGATTTTCTTCTTAATGTCAACTCTTGGGTTCTTTCTCTTGTAGAACTTCTGCATGATTATTTTATCATGGTCTTATTCAATTGCATCCACACTTGGCTTATGACCAGCATGCATTTGTTCTAGGAAGTTTCTAGCAGCATGTATCTCATCCTCTCAAGCTTCCCTGCATATTCCAAGTCGTTTGCACGGATCACATTGATTCTGGGAAAGATAACTGCAGTTGAAGAAACAAGACACATACAGAAGAAAATACATCAACAAGAGTAACTAGAAAGAAAAATAATGGAAACTTCAATTAGTGACCATTAAGAAATCAACGAGTAGGACATCACAACTCATGCAGAAGAGGTTATAATTGGGGGAAGCAGCTCATAAATGAATAGAAAGAAAATGAGTAATATCTGAATCAGGAAGTTGAGGACCAACTCACTGAAAGGAATGCAAACTATTTGAACTTCACACATAACACTCTTTGAAGGGGTCAGTATTCTATTCCAAGAATAATGTTAGTTTGGAAACTAAGCAAATTGTCATTTAGCAAGGAATCTACAATAACTAAGTATTTTCCTATACATCAATAGTATCCGAGTCCAAAAAGTGAAAATGTCTCAAAGAACTATCTAATATAATTCGAGTGTATTGAAGACTTTCATGCTCAGGTACCTTTGTAGAATAATATGCTCCAGCTGCACATGCCAAAACAGTTGTGGCCAAAAATGTTGTTGAGGCAGCTAGTCCATGACAATCCCGACGGACAGGAGTTTCGATTTGCCCCGCTCTAACTCTTTAATCCACCTGTCTTGCCAAGTCCCTGAAGGCTCCCCTAGAGGCTTAGCCCTCTTACTCCACTCGAGTCTAAAGTTAAACAGCTTTTAGGGACTTGCCAGTGATCAAGAGTAGCAATTTGATATGCCATATATAAACCCGACAAACATTCTAAACCCACCCAAAGTAAAAGAAATACATGGTAACCAGATGTATGACACAGAAGACTTCCTCATCAACAATCTATGCTCTTCTGTTGCCTCTATGGATCAATCAACTATTCTCAATCCTAAATTAGTTGGGTTGCCATATGAATCTTCTGTAACCTCCGGCTCCATTTTGTCTATATTATTTCAATATTAAATAAATTATCTGTTTAGGCAAACTAGAGGTTCTTCAAATCTCACACTTATCCGGCACTGACACACAAGTTCCTGACCAAACTAGAAAAAAACTTGGTAAACAAACACCTGACCCAATGTAAGAGTGACAGAACAAATAAACCATAATTCTAATTAGTACTCCTTCAGTTCCAATTTATTGAACGTGTTTGACTGGGCATGGAATTAAAGAAAAATTGAAAACTTTAAGAAATTTGCGGTCATAAACAAGTCAAAAAGGAGCCCAGAGTATTTGTGTGGTTATAAAAATATCTCATTAAGGGTAGAATTGGAACTTTAAGCTAAATTGTTTCTAAATTTAGAAAGAGGTCATTCATTTTTAAACGGACCAAAAAGGAAATAGGTTCACATAAACTGAAACGGATGAATATCTCCTTGTCTTTGCATTGCGGATAAATAGATTTAATGGGCACACTTTTCTTATTTATGTGATATCTTCCAGTATAATAAAAATCTAATGATGTTGCTGGGAAAGAAAAAAGCTACTCCTAAGCATTACCTTTGAACCTCAATAAAGTGTACCTAGCACATGAAGCGAAACCTTTGCCTGAAACTTGTATATGGGAAGAAGCACATTTGTTCGATTCAAGCTATAGAGAACAGAGAAAACGAAGTGAGGAAGAAGAGAAATCAGAATTGTGTTCTTCTGTTAATTGTCGATCAATACAAGGCTGCACTATATAGTGCTAATACCTCTAACTCCACTAACTAATTAACAGCTCACTCACAGCTGTCAAAACAGCCACTAACAACTAACTAATATCAACTAACTTTAAACAACTCCCCTCTACTTTTATGTGTACAATTTGGTCCCTCATATCCCAAGACTCCCCCTCAAGGTGGAGAGTAAAATACATTGAAAACTTCTAGCTTGGAAAGAAGAAAACAGTGTTGCGCAACACCAAGTCCTTTTGCCATGATGTCTGCCAGCTGAAGTTTTGTTGAGATATGATGAGGCATGAGCAGTCCATTTTTTATCTTCTCCCGGACAAAATGACAATCAAGTTCTATATGTTTTGTTCGTTCATGAAATATAGGATTTGCTGCGATTTGGAGAGCAGCTTTGCGGACACATTAGAGATCAACTAGTTGTTGTAAATCGACATTCAATTCCTTTAACAACCCAACTAGCCAAGTGATATCAGCTGCTACTACTGCAAGACTCATATACTCAACTTCAGCTGAGCTACGACTTATTGCCTGCTGCTTCTTGGACTTCCATGATAGCAAAGACTCCCCCAGTTTTATAACATATCCAGTAATTGACTTTCGTGTATTTGGACATGCTGCCCAATCAGAATTACAGTAGGCAGTGAGATGAGAGATAGGACTCATCTTTAGGAATATACCAAGCCCAGGTGAGCCTTTGATGTACCTGACTACTCTAAGTGCAGCATCCATGTGAGATTGTTTTGGATGTTGTATGAACTGACTTAGCACTTACACAACAAAACAAATGTCAGGACGTGTGATGGTCAAATAGAGCAGTTTTCCCACTAACGTCTGGTAACTTGCTATATCCTGCAATTCTTCATCTCCATTGTGTCCTACATATTTGTCATACTTTGTGGTAGTCAGTTTTTGATTTGTCTCAACATGAGTAGAAGCAGGTTTAGCTGCAGCTAATCATGTGGTAGAAATCAACTCCAATGCATATTTTCTTTGATTTAGCAGTAGGCCCTTATCTGATCTCATTACTTCTATAACCAAAAAATATCTAAGTTCCCCTAAATCCTTGACCTTGAATTTGGTATGCAAAGTACTCTTGGCCTCTTCTACTAAGGACATGTTGCTACCTGTGATTAAAAGATCATCAACTTACACCAAGATGACAACAATGTCCTGTCTTGATTGCTTAGTAAATAAGGGGTGATCATTTGTACTCTGCTGGTATCCTGCTCCTACTAAGGCATATGTGAGCTTAATGTTCCATTGTCTCAAAGTCTGTTCCAAGCCATAGAGTGATTTCACTAGTCTGGCAACTTTATTCTCCCCTAGATTTGGAAACCTTGTGGCAAGAGCATGTACACTTCCTCATATAAATCACCCTATAGGAATAAATTGTTGACATCCATTTGATATAGGATCCACCCTTTTGAGGCTGCTATGCTAAGGACAGTTCTCACAGTTACCATTTTTGCAACTGGAGAAAATGCCTCATGGTAGTCTAACCCTTCTTGTTGAGTGTATCTTTTTGCAACCAGCCGTGACTTGAACCTCTCAACCTCACCATTTAACTTGTATTTGATTTTGAATACCCACTTAGAACCAATTGGCTTCTTACCTCCTGGCAAGTCTACCACCTCCAAGGTGTGATTTTCTTCAAGTGCTTTAAACTCTTGGTTCATAGCTTCTATCCACCTTGGATCATGTGCAGCTTCCTTGAAAGATTATGGCTCAGTTAAGACTGAAAAAACACTAAGATAAGACTGATATGCAGGAGATAAATTATCATAGGAAATGGCATTAGAAATTGAGTAGGGATTGTTAGTGTGTGTCTTAACAGTAGTGATGTAATCCTTAAGCCAAATGGAAGGCTTTCCTTATCGACCAGACTTCCTAGTTTCCACATCTGCAGATGCTTGTTGAGGTCTCTATCAAAATTGCACAATCCCATTACCGTTGCCAAACGTTCAAAAACTGATGAAGACAGTTTTTTTAACAATAATGCAACTATAAGTGGTGTCCAATTGGCAGGTGAATGCAATTATGTGTGGGTCAAATGGTCATACTAGGATTTCTGCATGAGGTAATTGGAAAACAGGTTGCATCTCTTTTTAGCAATTAATAAAAGAATACTCTATCACTTGCTTCCTCTGTTGGATCTAAAGAATGCTCCTGAGCTTCTATTGCCTTAAATGCTTGTTCAGATTCTATTGGTTCTGAAGAATGTTGTTGGACTTCTGTTGGCTCAGTTGCTTGGTCATCAATAAAATTGTCATTTATTTGATCTACACTCTTATTCTCTCCATCTGATATGACATTGTCTAAAACTTTTGCATCATTTGTGATTTTTCCTACTATAGCAGTAGTGTCTTTAATCTATGACTGAATGTTCTGAGATGTAGGTGGAATCACAGTTGGATGTGATTGTTGCATCTCTTCTTCCTCCAATCAATTTTGAGAAGTAAAAAATCCTCTACATCATCTAGACATATAGTATTGCTAAAAAGAAAAATCTTCTATTTGAACACCACATCCCTACTAACAAATATGCTCCTATTCTCAAGATCATATAGCCTATAACCCTTTGAGTTTCTGAATATCCAATAAGTATAGTCTTTCTTGCTTTGACTGTAAATTTATCACCCTTATGTAGGTTATTTGCATAGCGCAAATAACCAAATACCCTTAAGTGATCAACCTTAATTGGTTTTCCATATAATAACTCATAAGGTGATTTACCTTATAACACACTAGTAGGCAACTTCTTTATCAAATATACTGCAGTTCTTACACAGTCACCCAGAATCTTCTAGGAACTGCACTTTGAAATTTTAAGGCTCTTGATACCTCCAAGATATGCCTGTATTTTCGTTCAACCACCCCATTTTGTTGTGGGGTATGTGGACAACTACTCTGATGTATTATTCCAAGAGAAGCAAATAAAGTATTGCATTGAGAATTGAAAAATTCAGTACCATTATCTGATCTAACAACCTTCACAGTGATTTCAAACTGAGTCTTTATCATAGCAAAGAAGTTCTTTATTACAACAACTACTTCACACTTAGATTATATTAAGCATACCTAAGTAAATATGCTATAATCATCTACAATTATAACAAAATAGAGTTTTCTATCATATGTAGGTACCTTATAAGGTCCCCAAACATCCATGTGAATAGGCTGGAAACAACCTATTAACCTAGTACTACTAGTAGGAAATTGTAATCTATACTGCTTTGCCAAAGGACATACTTCACAATTGTCCTGCATTCCAGTATGTGTTTTATTCCTCAATGCTGAAATATGTTCCATAGACTTTGCTGATGCATGGCCTAGTCTCAAATGACGTAGTCTTGTATCTTCATATTCCTTTAAGAAGCTTGTTGTTGTTATTAGTAGGTTCTCTTTTATCAAGTACAATCTATTATTTTCTCTATCAATCCTCATCACCTTGCCATTGTAGAGCCCCTGAAATATGCAGAAATCAGGGTAAAAACCTACTGAGCAACACAATTGCTTAGTAAGTTTAGATACTGATAATAGATTAAATTTAAAATCTAGTACATATAGAACTCCTTCAATAGTTTTGTCTCCTAACACTACTGCATCTCATGTATGTGTTATGTTTGCCTTATAGCCGGTTGGTAACTGTAGTCCATCTGTTTTATTGTCTACTCTTTGAAGATTACTTAGAGCATTCTTGCAATGTGTCACATGATGTGTCGCACCTGAGTCAACTATCCAAACATGATCATTAGCAGCTACATTTGTTATTAAAGCAATAATACCTACAATATTTGTAGAACAGTCACTTGTGTTTGTTTTCTGCAATAAATTTAACAATTCTTTATATTGTTCCTCGGTAAAGAAATTTCTTTGAGTTGGCATCATAACTTCTTGCTTCATCTCATTGGTGGTTGCATTGTTTACATAGGTCTTTCCTCCTGAGTTTTTGCCTTTCTTCTTGCTTTTGAAATCTGGTGGATACCCTACTATCTTGTAACAATTCTCCTTGAGGTGTCCTTTATAACCACAGTAATCACAGACTAATCCTAGCCTTTTTGTCTAAACTCATGACTCTTTCCTGCCATCATTGTGAGTGGATCCTTCAATGTGTCTGTAACCCCCATAGTTCTTTGGCTTTCCTCGTCTGTGTCTATTGTATAAGCCTCATTCACAGTGATTACAGGCCTCTTAGCTAAAATATTGCTCCTAATATTTCCATAGCTTTCATTCAACCCCATGAGAAATTGCAGTAATCATATGTTTTTTAATAACTCTATAGATGGCCTAGATTCTTCACAATCACATGATGCTAAATGTGCAATTACATCCAATTCATCCCACAAATCTTTTATCTTAGAATAGTAGCTAGTAACTGAATCAGTCCCATGTCTCAGAGTTGCAATAGCAGTCCATAGATGATAGATCCTAGTTAGATTTGATCTATCAAATCTCTCCTGAAAATCAACCCAAACCTTTCTTGCATTCGATGCATATATGATGCTAGCCATCAATTCATTAGAAACAGTACTACCAATCCATGAAAGAACAATTGCATTACATTTCTCCCATTGTTCTGCCAATTTACCTTTATACATGATTTTCACACATGATCCATCCACAAATCCCAACTTGCTCTTTCCTAGGAGTGCCAATTTCATCGGTCTACTCCACAGCGCAAGTTTTCTAGGCCCGTGAGCTTGAGCGGAATTAAAACTAACCCCGGTGCATCTGAAGCTTGCAGAAACAGTGGATGATTATGATTTAGAGAATTGACTTCACTCTCCGCCATAGCTGTTAAGAAATCGAGCTCAGAAAGCTTGGATCTCGCCGGAGATTGACCGAATTACAGTATACGCTCTGATACCATGTTCGATTCAAGCCCTAGAGAATAGAGAAAATGAAGTGAGGAAGAAGAGAAATCAGAATTGTATTCTTCTATTAATTGTCGATCAATACAATATTGCACTATATAGTGCTTATACCCCTAACTCCACTAACTAATTAACAGCTCACTCACAGTTGTCAAAACAGCCACTAATAACTAACTAATATCAACTAACTCTAAACAACTCCCCTCTACTTTTATTGTGTACAATTTGATCCCTCATATCCCAAGAACATTCCAGGTCCCATTACCAACTTCCAAAATGCGAAAAGAGAGACGATTTCCAATTAATCTGGCAAAGAAAATACATAGGTAAGGATTTAAAAGAAACATATAGATTATGAACTTGAGGTGCGTTCTACCCCTCCTTATATATCATTAATTAAATAAATATCTAAAATTTTAAATAACAACTCCGTTGTAGTCTAGGCGGTTAGGATACTCAGCTCTCACCCGAGAGACCCGGGTTCAATTCCCGGCAACGGAAATCTCTCCTTTTTTCTTTCTAATTTTCATGTATCACAAACAAACGATTTATGGACGTATTAGCTGTTTGTCGTCATCATTAAAATAGCAAACAAAAATCATTTTGAAAGATAAATTTCTGATTTCGACCCATTATGTATCGAATAAATACCTTAAGGAGCCTCTTAACATTTACCTCTTTTTTAAATTTTTCATAATATCCTTGTATTGTGATAAGAAGTAGTCCTCGTTGTTGGGCAAGGCAAATAGAGTACAAAGCACATGGTATATAATATAAATTTTAAGTTTTAAATATAATACAATACTTTTTTTTGCAATAAATCTATCTATATCTATACTATATTAAAAGCACGAAAGCCCTTAGCGAAATGTCGTTTGCCTTTTTTATTCCTTAAAAATAAACTTTACCTAATATTTTAAGATAAGCTAAATTTTATTTATTAAATATTTTTCCTTTAAGGTATCTAAAAACTCCTAATATTTACGAATCTAATTTGAGTAAAATTTTACTTATAAATATTTTTTCCTTATTTAAATCGTGTAACAATCTTTCTCAAATTTGACTCTTTCATGTTTACAAGTTTTAACACTTTTGGAATTATAACAAAAGACTTTTGCAAGTTTCTGCCTTCGTTTTAATTTTGTAGGAATCATTAGCATTTTTCAATGTTAATCCAAATTTTTACATGTGCACAACGAGTTTAACTTGACTTATAAATTTGCTATTTTTAATATAAATCTTTTAATCATTAATGATGGATAACATGTAAGTTATATCTTATGTCAGATATTATATCATTCAAATTATATTTATAACATTAAAACTTTAAAATTAACTAACATTTTGCTATTAATTTTTATTTATTTGGATTATTCGGAGGGAGTTCTAATATTTAGAAATTCAACATTGAATAAAATTTTAACTTATATAACTTATTTTCTTATCTGAATTGCGTAAAATAATCTTTAGTCAAATTCATATCCTAAGAAAAAAAGAAAAAATTTAAATTCAATTCCTTATTTATCAAGATCTAATAACAATCGTGAATATTGAATATCACCAAACTAAGTTGCACATACTTTAATAATTTTTCTTTGGATCAAAGAATAACCGAGAATATCAAGATATATTATCTTCGCTTTTGGTTGAAAAATTCGATCAAAATTATTATATCATCAGTTCAAATGAGAAAAATGAGTTTGGATATAATGACGATCAAGGAAACCAAAAATAACAAAGTCAACAAAGAATAAGTAAGAAATTATTGTTTGGATATAATATTGGTCGCTTTTTTACTTTTTATTTGTTGATTTCACACGGGACTAAATTGTTATTTACGTTATTTTTCTAATATTTAGGAATTTGAAATCCTAATATTTAGGAGTTTGAAATTTTAAAAATAGGTTGATCATTAATGCTTTCTATATTTTAACTAAGTAAAAACTACTATTATGTAGCAACTCAAAATATATATAAATCCCTAGCCCAATAGTTTGAACTTTATAAATATTTCTAAAATATACTACTTACCAAGTTGCCCCATTTATACCAACCACTCGATTTTCTCTTCCTCTTCTAATTCTATAATGCTTATGAATGTTCTTTATAGTATTTGGTGATGAAAAGTTAGTATACTCCCTAATTTTAGTGATGTAAAGGTTAAACCTCAAGGTCTTTAAAAGTATATCCTTCCCAAATCCATAAAAGAAAAAAGTGAATAAGAAGATTTGTTGAAAAAGAGAATTAACTAATATAACTGTTAAGTTACATGATAATTTTATTACCATTAATAATCTGGAACTTATAGTAAAAAATTTTAGAGTTTAAACGAGAGATAAAGAGACGTGATCGACAAGAGTTAATGACACTAATAATTATGCAAATATGATGATCCAAAGTAAAATATTTGATAGACATTTTACCCTTTAAAAATAATTTTTTATTGGATAAAATTATAACTATAGTTGAAAATGTAAAATTCTAGACGATTTCATACTAAAATATGAATAAAAATAAATGATTTCTTAAATAAATACTTGAGTTTTTAGAACTAATAGCAAAATTAAGTCATTTCACTTCTTTTAAAACTATTCATATACGAAAAATTATTTTTCAAGTTGATAAAACTCATATGGTACATAAATTTATTTTTATAAGAAAAATATTGGTGAAAAGAGAAATTAGAGATAGAGCAAACTTGAAGCGACAAGGATAAAATATTAGAAGATAAAACGTATTCTAAATGAGTTGTAATTTTTCATCATTCATTATAAAGAATGGTAACTCCTTATATTTTTTATACATTACTTCTTGTAAAATACTAACTCAACATTAGCGGAGGCAAATGAGAAAAAAATAATAATAAGACATTTGAGAACTTATGTGATGGTAGATTACTTTTTCTAATTTGTATTTTACAACTCAAACATATTATGTGGTATATATAAGAAAGATAGAGAGAGATTTTCTCAAAATCGTATATTCACAAATATAGTATACACGCGTAAAGTGCGTACCCTAAAACTAGTTATTATAAAAGCATGAATATTAAAACACTAAATGTTGAATGACTAAAATATCCTTAAAATATTAATTGAATTTTATGTCCTTGAAAATTTAAAGTACAAATAAGTTTATATAGGATACAATTGTAATTACCTTTAAATTTAATAGCATGGTTGCACTAGAATTTTGACGCATGCAAAACTAGGATTCCAAACGTTAACATTAGCCAACTTTAAAACTATTTTTGGGACTTTGAAACCAAATAAAGTTCTTCATTAATTTTATTCCCATAAGAATTAAGTAATTAACCTTTATCGAAAATAGGAATTTTTAGTGCTATTTGCTAGGTTGGTGTACCAACTTTTAAAATGTGTTTTTTTTCTCCCCTATTTTTTTTGGGTCGCAGTAAGATTGGAAAAAGGTTTTATAATTGGATTCCAATTGATCAAATCATTACCGATAAGGCATTTAATATTTAGACTAAAAATATTATATGGAAGAAAAAGTAATGGTTTTAGAGGTGTACCATCAAGTAGTACCAATAGTTTCAAATTTAACGGGAATATAGATTATAAATACATACATGATATAATCATACTTATGACATCAAATGAAAATCATTCAGCTAATAGAAAATATGAAAACAAAAATAAATCCAACATTCAACGATTTTTCTTCATTTCGGAAATGGAGAAAAGCATACAATAAGAGATTTTAGTCCTCATTAAGAACAATTGGTTGTCAAGCCCAATGATGATAGTAATGAAAGTTGCTTAATAAATAAAATATTTGTATCATCAAATAAAAATACGAGTTGTCCAAAATACATGATGCAAAAAGTAATCTTAGCTAGCACAATGTGTTGATCAATTAAATGCGATATTGATTGTCAAGTTCCCTAATAGAAGTAAAATATTTCTTAGTTTTGACTTTGCTTAAGATGATACCGGCAACTATTATAGTATTACTAGGAAGATATGTAGATACTTAGCGACAAAGGACCCTTCACCACAGAAGCTTTTTGCGATAAGATAATAACTTAATAATCGGAAGGGTAAAGTGACATAATAAAGCGAAAAATGTTTGTTATATGAAGTCATAGAAAGAAATATTTTTTCAACTTATCTTTTAATTATAACGAGAAATATACGTGCAAAGCACTTACATAGAGACTAGTATAATACAATACGAATAACGACTTTCGTGCACAAAAGAGAGAGGGACTCATTTTAATTTTCTTGTAACCAAACATGCACTTCCTATTTATGTATTTTATCCTGAAAACTGTTGGCATTAGCCCGTAGCTTTTGGCTTTACCGTGCCACTAGCTGACAGCAAAGGCAATAGATCAAAATCAAACGTCTTATGCGTAAACGTTGTTGGATTTTTGAAGATGAACAACTTAATTTGGACGACAGATACCATGGTTTTAGGTTTTCATATCACCTTCTGTGTTGTCAATGGCACAAGGCTGCAGAAAATCCCATCAGTGATATGATGCATCATTAACTACTTTTTGCACAACTTACGCCCAGTGACAGAGCCACCTTAAATTAAGGGGTGTCCATTGACACTTTTTTGTTTAAAAATTACACTATTTAGCTATGTCAAAAAAATATTTTATGTGTGTGTATATTGAGTCCCCAAAAAAATATATATATTGAGTCCCCTTATTTTCTTCGTGTGTTTACTTATTTATATTTTAATACACCTTAGTAAAATTTTCAGCGCCGCCACTGGTTACGCCTACGCCCACTTTCCTCAAACTATTACTCCTTCCTCCAAATTCACATGTGCAAATGCCTTCAAGATGCACAGTACTAGAACTTAGGATTGTAAAGCGTTTCAACTATGATGTTTAAAAACATAAACATAACACTACAACTAAAGGAGAAAGACATTTGTATAATCTTAGATATGTGTCATGATCCGCCACATCATCATACCACGTAGGTGTTACTTGGCATATACTTTTGCCATATGGAATGGTTACATAAGTTAGGGACTAGATTTTGGTGGAATATTCTAGAACTGTGGAGAATTTCCTTGGAAATGTTCTAGATATTTATGCACTTATATGAAGGTTCTAGAGAAATATAGAGGTTTCCTTAGGAAGACCCTAGAACCCTATAGAATTGTTAGGAAAGTCCTTAGAAGATTCTAGCTATGTAGAATATTCTAGAGACGGACTTTTTTTGTAAATACGGAAAGACTTGTAGAACAATTATTATTTACATACTAGCCCCTAGGTGATTAGTATAATTAGGGGGGAATTCATTTGTAATTCATCAACCAAGCAAACATTTCAAGTTCTCTCTAATACAAAGCTTCCTTTAGCAATTCTCTTGTATTCTTTCTTTCATTCTCTTAGCGATCTTGAATGTAGTAAGGCTGACTTGACATAGCAAGAACGTGAGCAAGTTGTGCAAGATCGTGAGCGAGTTGTCAAGTGTCGCACGTGTACTTAGTTAACAACTAAGGACGTGACAACGTGGTATCAGAGCAAAGGTTATGACTAAGAAATATTAGAAAGAATAGAAGAGATTGCTATAAGGAAATTTTGTAGGGAACCATGGCCAAAATTACTAAGGGTTTGGTACTTGCAGAAGGGATCAATATGAAGGTCCCTAATTGAAAGCAGTATAGCGGTGCACGGGACGCGCGAGATGGCAGACTGGCAGAAGTTAAGGGAGCTACGACAGAGGCCACAATTTGGGAGTATGTGCACGAGTTCACTGCCTTAATGCTGCAAATCAGGCCATTGTTCGAGGAATATTCCCTCTTCTACTTCATGGATGGGTTGCAAAGTTGGGCAAAGCGGAAATTAAAAAGACATCAAGTAGCCAACGTGAACGGGGCCATCGGAGTAGCCTAGTCAATTGTTGAATTCAAGATGGAGCCTTCCAAGTCCAAAGAAGGCAACGCCAAGAGGGATGAGGGAGATCATGACGAGGACAACGGGAAATGCATAGCCGAGGTATACAAGGGTAATGGCAAGGGGCCATCCCATAACGGACAGTGGTCCAAGAGAAACGGCAAGGGGCCGGAAAATGGTAGGGAGTACGTACCTAAGGAAGGGTGCTACTTCTGTGAAGGATCACATCGGGCAAGGGAATGCTCAGAGCTGAGGAAGCTTGCAGCAATGATAGGAAACTTTGCTCAAGCACATACGGGCGACACAGGGGGAACCGCCTGTATTGGAGGGATGCGCTTGGAATCTAAGCCGAAAGTAAGGGATTCCAAAGCCTATCTTGGCACCATTCAAATGGAGCATGGCGGCAGCAAGAAATGTTGGACGGACATAGTTGAAAAGGATGGCGAGTTATAAAGTGATGGCATGCTATCAGACTCAGACGATGTACCAAGCAAAGGGTTCAAGTTTGCCAGTAAGGCTGGACCAAGGAGGGCAGCCAAATAGGGAGTGGAAGCATGGACTCGATGCTTGAGAAGCTGCTAAACTTGGTTGAGTCATAGGAAGATTTAGGCTAAGAGCAAGGAGGGGCATCCGATGGGCGGAGGATGGAGGTCATCATTGCTAGCCATCCAAAGTACAAATATGTAAGAAGAAAGGTAGCTACTGGCTAGTACCTTGTGAAATGGGAAGGAGAATCGCTTCATAGGGCATCATGGCTAATGGATAAAGATCTCTAGCGACGCCAAGGCGAGATGCGCGCATATGCGTCGATGCTTTGTGCCGAGGACGGCACAAAATTGGGTGGAGGAGAGTGTCATGGCCCGCCACATCATCATGCCACGTAGGTGTCACTTGGCATATATTTTTACCATATAGAATGGTTACATAAGTTAGGGACTAGATCTTGGTGGAATATTCTAGAACTATGGAGAATTTCCTTGGAAATGTTCTAGATATTTATTCACTTATAGGAAAGTTCTAGAGAAATATAGAGGTTTCCTTAGGAAGACCCTAGAACCCTATAGAATTGTTAGGAAAGTCCTTTGAAGATTCTAGCTATGTAGAATATTCTAGAGAAGGACTTTTTTGTAAATACGGAACGACTTGTAGAACAATTATTATTTACATACTAGCCCCTAGGTGATTAGTATAAATAGGGGGCATTCATTTGTAATTCATCAACCAAGCAAACATTTCAAGTTCTCTCTAATACAAAGCTTCCTTTAGCAATTCTCTTGTGTTCTTTCTTCCATTCTCTTAGCGATCTTAAATGTAGTAAGGCTGACTTGACATAGCAAGAACGTGAGCAAGTTGTGCAAGATCGTGAGCGAGTTGTCAAGTGCCGCACGTGTACTTAGTTAACAACTAAGGACGTGACATATGTCTATTATCATCTGGAATCTTAATCAAGTTGTTATATATAACTAAAAGGGTCCGTTTAAACATATCATTTTGATGACTACTTAGTAAACGACTTCGGTAAGTTTATTAGGCAAAAATCACACATCTTGTACCTCAATTTTTTTATTGGTTGAATACATAGACATCCCTCTAAACTTGATCAAATTTGTCATTTAAACGTCTACACTAAGCTTATGATCAATTGAACACATGACTTATACTTAGCCAATGGAACATTTAATTTACAAATGACTTAATTATAAAAATTAGATGTATACATAAACCTTTAATAATGTATGTTCAATGTTATGAATTTGCTGCAACTACCTTAGTTTTCGGGTTTAAATTTATATGTCACATCCGATGGTCAAACACATTGCATATGAAATACCTCCAATTCTTCATCACGGATGAGATATATCATGACTACCTTCATGCAACCACTCCATTCACGCCTCTTCCCCTAATTTAATACACTCCCTTTTCTTCTTTCTCCAAACTCCAACCTCTACTTTCTAACTCAAGAAACCAAACCTACTCAAAATCCCAAACTTTATTATTAATATTTATACTGTAGTTCCGACTCATGAATAGTTTTTCTTCCTCCCAACTTCCTTTGAAAAAATATATGGTCACATGAAAAATTAAATAATTGCACCAAACTCGTGCATGAGGGTCCCATGAATGATGCTAGAGTTTCTCAAAATCCGTTACTGCTTTATCATTTTAGTCAACCTTCTTCTTCTTAAAATCATTTATCTGCCGCAAACAAGCAGAAATCCATGCAAAATGATGCAATAGCTCTAGAGAGAGATCATATTTTTTATTGCACATATAATACCAGAGGATGGCCTATACTGGCCATTGGAGTTGTGTACAGGTTGGTGGTTTGTGTTTTTTTCCTGCAATATAGTCACGGTTTCCTCCTCACAGTCCCACTCTCCAGCTGACCAAAACAGACACTTCGCTATCAAACAGTGATAAGATGACAAACAATAGGCCAACTAAACTCAATATTTTCTACACGGAACATAAATACATGTAATTAAAATGACTAAAATCTTAGTAAATTTTTTCTAAACACATAATTTTAAAAGTACAATAGGTTCAACGCTAAGAACGTAAGCTAATTAATAACTGAACTAATCAAGTTTAAATCTTGGGTTCGTTTATGATCATTTATGGCATATGGACATAGGGTAAAATCAAGATTCAGGATAGATTGGTCTCCGTGAGCAAAGAAACAAAAAGATAATATGACTACCGAATACGAGTACAGCCACGACTTGTCAGATTCCCTTCCTATGCTCTTTCTTATTCTTTCTCCCGGACCAATCATTTTTATCTCATACACGTACGTACATTATTATTTTTATTTTTTCACACTCTCTGGCCCTTTATATAGTACTCCAATTTCTGACTCTCATTATCTTCAAACTTCCTCACGAGTATAATCATTATCACATTGGGGAATGGCTACTTCAAGGACGAGATTACTAGAGTTGCTTTTTATCTTAATTTTATTGTTTGCTATTAGTGCAAATGCTAAAAGGGGTAAACATTCTAGGAGGCAGAATAAGTTGAAAGTGGCTAATGAAGATGGTTTCTTGAATTGGATTAATCGCATTAGTTCTCGCAATCATTCTGTCTTCCACGAAGCGAAGAACAAATTTGAGCCTTGCAAATTTATTAAGGTGAATAAAAACCCAAAGCATGGAGATTTTACTACGGTTCAAGAGGCTATTGATTCAATTCCAATTGCCAATTCTTGTCGAGTGGTTATTTCTGTTAGTCCTGGGATTTACAGGTAAATTAACTCCCATTGTCCTGTTTTCTGCATCTTGAGTAATTGTATACGATAAGGCATTCAATTATTGTGTTTCAGATTGCACAGGACAAAACATGTTCATTAAACAGGACATTTTTGAACAATGTTGCTAGTTATTTACGTGAAAGTTTTGTCTAAGTGAGGTTAAAAATTTGCAGGGAGAAGATTGAAATTCCAGCAACAATGGCATACATTACACTGGAAGGTGCTAGTTCGCGCAAAACGACTATCAAATGGGATGACACTGCAGATAGGGTAGGAAAAGATGGCCAGCCAATGGGAACGTATGGTTCTGCAACGTTTGCTGTTAATTCCCCCTACTTCATTGCCAAAAACATCACCTTTAAGGTAAATTGTGTATTGTGTTTAGTTTAATAAGATGCATGTAGTAATGCTCATTTTTAGGGAATAGCGATGCATGTATTGTCAAGGTATACTTTTTAAGTTACTTGTTGAAGGTAATTAAAGGCAACGATTGTCAGGGGGGATTTAGGGGGCGGAAGGGTGTTCACTCGAACCCCCTTCGTCCGAAAATTACATATAAGGCAAATTCGGTTTGTACCTCTATATATTATATTTTGAATCTGTAACAGATTTTCAACCTCCCTTCATGAAGTAAGAGCAATTTTTGCCTGGTACGCACTCGAAGCCTATGTTCACTAGATAAATTGAAAAAGTCCCCCTGACATAGCCCAAAAGCATAGTTTGGTTCAAAATTTTTGTTAGGTTGCTGGTTCAATTCTTGCTGGCCACAGTTTCTTCTAATTTTTTCAACTTTTTCTTTTTTTAAACTCCCTTAGCAGAAATCCTGCCTTCGCCACTGACGATCGTAACTAGAAAATTTGTGTTCTGTGTTCAGTTTAACATGTTCAATTGCACTAATTTTCTAAAAAGTTCATTTACATTCTTAGTGAATGTAAGATAAATTCATAATTATTTCCTCCGGGAACAGAATGTAGCACCACCACCACCATCAGGGGCACTGGGAAAGCAAGCTGTGGCATTAAGAATCTCCGCAGACACAGCGGCGTTTATAAATTGCAAATTCATAGGAGCACAAGATACATTGTATGATCACAGGGGCAGGCATTATTTCAAGAACTGCTATATACAAGGTTCTGTGGATTTTATATTTGGAGATGGGTTGTCCCTCTACGAGAATTGTCACTTAAATGCCAAAACAAAAAGCTATGGGGCATTGACAGCCCAGAAGAGGGAGAGCATGCTGGAGGAAACTGGATTCTCTTTTGTGAATTGCAAGGTTACTGGATCTGGTGCTCTTTACCTGGGCAGGGCTTGGGGTACTTTCTCAAGGGTCATATTTGCTTACACTTACATGGATAAGATCATCACTTCAAAGGGATGGTATGACTGGGGGGATAAGAACAGGCATATGTACGTTCCTTTTTTTTTCTATGTAAAATTCCTACTTCTTACTGCACATTTTACCCCTTTTGTTCGTCTAATATGATTGGTAATGTTCCCATTGATTAAGTTTTACCACTGTTTTCGGAAAATAAACAAGATGCTTTAGGTATATTGTAAAATTTCAAATTTCATGAATTTACTGAGTAGCTTATATTGCTCTACAGGACGGTATTTTATGGGCAATTCAAGTGTTCGGGACCAGGGGCAAACCACGGTGGCAGGGTGAAATGGTCCAGGGAGCTCACTGAACAAGAAGCTAATCCGTTTGTCTCACTCAGCTTCATCGATGGTCATGAATGGCTTCTCAATATTTGATGGTTTCTTTATCACCTAGCAAGCCATGGCAGTCATACTCCTGTATAATTAGTCTTCAATCTATCTATAACATTTAAATTTTACACCAGAAAATGATTGTCCCCAACCACCATAATATGGATCAACTTTCTCATCCAGACATGCATAGTCGCTATTTAAAGCTGCAACTCCAGCTAACAAATGAAGAAACATTTTTTAAAGTAGCTTTGCTTGCCGAATTACAGTCATGCAAGAATACGATATATACCCGAACACTTACAAGGTGATAGTTGCTTTCAAAAACTGTTGCAACTTTTCTCAAAAAGCTCTTCCAATTTTTTCAAAAATAATTTTCAGTTTTGATTAAAAAGTCAAAATCTTTCACCACCTAAGTTGGGCAAGCCAGCTGAAAGATAACATGCCACCAAACTACACGTAATTGAGGAATGATGCAACAAGCATTGTATTACAGAAGCTGGGAGCTATGTATACAAGTTTAAAAGAGACATCGATTATATATAAATAAAAAATAAAAATAAAAAACTGTACAACTATAAACAAATGTACATGTTATACAATTCCGCCATGACGGTCAGTTGCTTTCTTCACGTAATTGAACAGTACAATACCAACAGGCAGCCTGACAAAAAGAGAACTGGAAAAGTCAACAACTAAAAGAAACATACAAGCCTTTACGGAGATGAAATAAAAAGGTCAACAGAGAAAGACATGCTAGCATTTACTGAAACAAATATAAGTCCACTAGTCATCATATATAGACAACAACACCAACAACAACAACAGCCCAGTAAAATCCCACTAGTGGAGTCTGGGGAGGGTAGTGTGTACGCAGACCTTACCCCTACCCTGGGGTAGAGGTTATTTCCAATAGACCCTCAGCATCCCTCCCTCCAAGAACTTCCCACCTTGCTCTTGGGGTGACTCGAACTCACAATCTCTTGGTTGGAAGTGGAGGGTGCTTACCACTAGAGCAACCCACTCTTGTCAATCATCATATATAGAGAACATGGGATATCAACATCTTGGGACATGTTCCAGATTGTGGTGGAGAAGATAACCAACACTACTAAAGAGAATGGACCCTTCTTAAACAGGAATTCTGGATATACACCACCCCTAAAGACAAAAAGGGAAAAAATAATTGAAGGGAGAGAAATTACTGGGAACTAATCAAGACACACAGCAATGGCATGATCTATTTTTTGCAACCAAAATGCAAACAGTTGTCAACAACTACAGGAAAATGCTAATGTCCTGTTTAGAAGAATGTCTCCCTATATCAGAGAAAACTGAAAAGTGAACAGAGGCAACGCACCACACAGATCATCAAGACTGGAAGAGAGTTACAGTCGCAATGTAACCATTCTTCATCACCTGTGACAAATAAGCAAGATCCTGGTAAAGTAATACGAAAACAAAACACAAAAAAAAAAAAAAAAAAAAAAAAAAAACATAAAGTGTAAAGCAGAATCACAGCGGGGAATGGTCACTATAAAGTGGTATGTAGACATTTATTTGAAACAAAAAATTGACCTCAAAGGCAAGATTTTGGTAGCCATATACAAAGGTAGATCCAAACGGATTGCTTGTAGAGCCTTGCGTTTGGATAGCAGCTCGACCACAATCCCCGAGTATCTCCTGCAGAATCGTTGCAACTTAACGATGAGTCAGCTTGAAATTGAGACCAGAAAAAGAAGATATCTGATGATAGTTATGGATACGCAGGCAAGACTACACTAACCATTTGCTCATTAGTGCTAAAACATCCTATAACAGGAGGATATTGTGAGTTAAAAAAATGTGTGTGTGTGTGTGNAAAGGAATACCAATGAATAAATAAATAGAATAGATACATATGAAACAGGAAAGGAAGAATCCACCTTAACTTGTTCCCACTTTGTGCTGGCTGTTATAGTGCCTTTAGAGGAGTTTACATCCTGATGATATGCCCCAACAACTGCAGACAAATGATGCAAAAAGTATTAAAACGAATATCCAACTTTTTTACATTGATATAATCAAGAGGGACTTAGTCTTGAAAGAATCAACTCACAATCAGAACAATGGATTACAAAATTGCACTTCATATATGAATTGAAATCAGCATGCCCAGGATAGTTGGTGTGCAAGACAAACTTCTTGATCTTATGTGTCTGCAAATAAGCACAATAATCTGAGAACCAACATCGACTTCATAAGTGCTCACAGAAACCCAGAGGATGATATACCTGCCCATCAAATAGTACATCTATGCCACGAGTAAAGTAGTTGTAGAAGTAATCACCACAAAGGGTTGTCCTTGGTCGGGGATCTGAAGCAGAATGAATCACCATTTGATCGACCTGTATAGAGGACGAAGTCAATCTCCACCAAAGATCTAACATGTAGAAAATGACAAAAACTCACAAGAAGTTGTGTATGCCAATTTTCTGTTGGACAGGGAAGAAAAGATAACACTACCTGTTTCTGATGGATTCCGCATGGTCGACCTAACTCAGTCCAAACATCCTGCATAAAGACAAGATAAGATTGCATGGTTGACTCAGTCATCAAAACGTGTATAATAAAGGAATAGGACGAAATGCAGTCCACAGAAAATGCTACACCAGACTGCCACACAACATATAAGCACAACTAGATCCAAGCGTTCTAAAACCAAAAGTGGAACTGCTAAAAGAACTAAGCCATCACCAAGTTCAATATATGACCTAAAATAGGTTTTAAGCCCCTTCTAACTTCAGGAAAAGTCGAACTTCTGAATTGCAGCCCCTTCCTGAACTTCATTTTCAGTAATCAGGATATGATAATTAGATGGAATCTAGACTGAAGAGAGTATTCATGTGAACACCATTAGAGTTTTCACAACATCAAGGAAAAAATAATTCAATGGAAGAAAGAGATAATTTACACAACTGTAGCAAATAATTAACCCAAAAAAATCTAAAGAAAGAGGAGTTACCTGCGGTGAAGCACCAAAGGGGATGTGTTGGCCGCCAATGCTAAACCATAATTCTTCCCCCAGCTAAAGAAAATAGATACAACATAGTCATCTGTAAATCAGCTGAATTGCATGTCGGAGCAACATCCATTGTCAAACGTAATAGATGTTATGACACATCTTTTCTGATCTAAACTACTGTACACAAAGATACAAGAACTCTGGTCTCTTTTATCTTCGAAATTGGAAAATACAACTAAACTATTCATTAGATTCAGCATTACGGAGCACGAAAAAAAAATCTAACAACAAAATCAAACTAGATTTCATACCTGATCTGTTTTAAAAGAAAGGAGAAGGGGTAGACGGTAGACAAGGAGAAGGGGTAGACGGTAGACAAGGAGAAGGGGTAGACGGTAGACACTGCTGTTTTACGGATTCTAACCTCAAAATTAATAGGCATTGCAAGTGGAGAAAGAACTATCAAATGGAATGGCACCAGATTCAATTTTACTTTAATTCCATGTCCCTTCCTTCACAACTTGAGATAGCACTAAGATGAAAACAAAAGCACCATCAAGTTCATGCAATACTATAATTTTCTTGCTCACAAGTTTGAATTCTCCGAAGATTGATTTATAACAGAGATAGAAATACATATTAGCCATAACTGCAAAATCCCAGAGGTCAACTTCCTTTTGTAATGGCTATATAATTGGAAAAGCAACACGAAATCATGAAGAAGCTAACCAACGGTTCTCCTGGCAAAGAGAGCTGTGAACGGCCAAATTTAAGCAAATTAATCTAAGCTAAAACGAATAAATTCCAGACGTGAACTTCCTTAAAGATCAGCTCTATGTAATGAAAAGCACCACACGCACGCAAAGTGGACATCCTAAAGAGTTTTCTCCGTGAAAAACAACTAAGAGATGCAGCTTGAAGTAGGAGGACTAGAATTATTATTAATACATTATTCAATAAGAAATCACATATAACATCAGAAGAGACTGCACAAAACTTCAGTGCGGACATGAGAAGGACCGAAATAAACCTTTACATGCACTTCTTCCATGTAGAGGCTGCCAGCAGGCAGAGGAGGTGTACAGGCCTTGTCCATCATAGATCCAACGCCAACTTTACTGCCAGTAGAACTATCATATATTGATACACGGCAAGTAACTGGAGTTGTGCCATCTGGAAACTCCAGAGGTAGTTCCGCTTTTGAAGTGGAAAGAGAGAGAAAGAAAGGAGGGAAAAAAAATTATAAGCGTAGATAATTTGAATCTGCACAAGTGTGAACAACAAAAATAACCAGGAATACCTTCTCCATCACGACAGCAATCTGTATACTGGGAGGGAATTGGAAAAGCAAACGACAAACCCTGCAAAGTTGCAAACCATCAGAAGCCTCAACACAGAACTAAATGATGGATAAAAGAATTGGAAATAAATGTGTTATTCCATAGACATCAGCCACACATACCGGATAAAATAGAGTGTAAACTCCTCGATCCTTGTCATATGTTCCTGGATAGGTTGGCCCAAAAAGAGAGTAGACTGCTACAAAAGTGGCTAAAGTGGACGGCCCGCTGATAGTAACAAAATCGAAAGACAATTTAATGAACAGAAATGTAGGGGGGTGTAAACACAGGATTAGGAAAACCAATCCATTTAAAGAGTTGTGAGAGCAACACTATGAAAACTTACCCTATTACAGAAGTTGCATAGCGCATCTGGAGCCGTTTTACATCAAAAATTTCAATAAGGCGCAGCCTCTGAAACAGGTGAAAACTTAGAGAGTCAGAGATGCTTGAAATAAGTTCCAGACGTCCTCTATGCAAGCAGAAATCTCTTGAGTAGTGGTGGCAAAATGGATAACAAAACAATTATCCATCCCTATTATCCATTAAAAATGGGTTGGATAACAAACTTTTTAAAAATGGATCACATATGGATAAGATCCATACTATCCACTTAAAAATGGATAATTAATGAATAATCGGGTTTAGCTTTTACATTTGCAAAAGACTCAAATTGGAGGTTCCTCAAACTTGGGAGACTTGAAATTCTCCCAAAAATGATCACATTCAAGAAGCCATCCATATATGGGTATCCATATTATCCGCCGGTTAACCCATTTTCTATTCATATTAAATATGTGTGGGGCGGATAGTTTATCCTGCTTTGCATTACCGAGTTTTCAACCCACTCATATACTATTCGACCCGCCCATTTGCCA